ATAAAATATATATATATGTTCACATTTGATATGCAAATACTTATTTGCAACTCCCATCCTTTTTGAACTACATAACATAAAATGATCAGTATCATAGGCTCTCAATTATACTTCCAGAGTTTGTCATTCTGAAGGTCACTGAGAATCGGCTCATGCATCACGTGGATTTGACGTCACATATCCAGGCTACATTTGACAATATTGGGAATCCGATCGATTGTTGAACACCAAAGCTTCACTGGCTTCGTATAACACTGTTGAGTCTGAAATTGTTGACATTACGAAAAGGGTGCTTTTCTTATTCTCATTTAAATTCTTTATTTTGTTCGTTTCCCCCAAAACTTAGGGTATTATGTTTTTTCCGTTTCTATAAATTCATCAAAACAAAGACCTTTTCCAAGATTATTTCTTTTTAAAATTTTCTCAGTCCTAAAAAGGTTTCAAAACTTCAGTTGTAGCTAGCCATGCAGTACAAAGTTCCCAGTACACACAGAATTACTAATAGTATAACTATTTTCGTCTATACGAGTTGTATAGTGAATATTAGTTTAAATTATGTTCGGTTTCATATACAAACTTTCTTTATCTCTTCGTTATAATCAAGATACACCATTTGTAAAATAGAAAAACTGAATAAAAAATAAAGGTGGTTAGGGCGCTCGACTCGCAATCCGCGGGTTCGAATGCTAGTCCTACCAAACATGCTCGCCCTTTCAGCCGTGGGGGCGTTATAATGTGACGATCAATTCCACTATTCGTTGGTAAAAGAGTAGCCCAAGAGTTGGCGGTGGGTGGTGATGACTAGCTGCTTTCCCTCTAGTCTTACACTGCTAAATTGGGGACGGCTAGCGCAGATAGCCCTCGTGTAGCTTTGCGCGAAATTCAAACAAACAAACAAAAAATAAAGACTTCTCTTTTAGTCACCATTGTCAAAAAATTGTGATTGAGATTGTATTTAACAGTCAAAAGCCGGCGAAGCATAAGAAACAAACAAATATGTCTGAAATATCTGATAAAATTAATCTAACTGCAGATGTTCCCCCCCCTACATTCCTTGTAATTCGTCCATTTCGGATTCAAAATCAGAGATGTAAAAAAATAGCATTTCAGATCCATCTTTTGTTTACTTCAAATCATTGCATGAGAGGCATTTCATTACGAGAACTCGTAAATCGGGCTGTGCAAAAAAAAACAAAAAACAAGATCTGTGTGATTTTTTATCTTCGATTTTAGGCCTATTGTTTGTGATTGAACTTTAGCTATGGTAATACTTTCTGAAACTCGATTACATATTCGGTTACATATTAAAACATTTGAAACCTGTAACTTTACAGTTACACGTGTAGATGGCCTAAAGGTTTCTTTTAGGTAATTAATATTTGTATATAATATTTTAAGTTAGTTCCAACACACATTAATTAAGCAACCCTCGTGTACAGGCGTAAAAGGAGATAAAGAGGACAATGATTAAATTACAAAAATGATCTAAAATTTGCTTAATATTGAAAAACACTTTGATCTACGTATCAAATATTTCATTCTGTTACCATTCGGTATATCATCTGTTAATTAATAGTATTCCCAGAATCTTGTAACCGCAAGTACTGTACTTTTGACATGTTTTTATCGTTATTATTTTTAAATCCTAGTTTTATTTATTTGGCCCAAGAAGTTTACATGTTTTTCTTATTGCTATTATTGATCTTTCAGTTAGATGTTACATGAAAAGATATGTAAAAGTCAATCTCGCGGTAATTTTCAATGAACATAGTGTTTCGTATCTGCTTGTTTGATAATTTCCCGTAAAAATATTTTCCGAGAAACTTCAGCCATACAAGTCATTTCTTAAATAAAACTAGTTTATTTTTTTCTCAATACAACTTTGCAATACACAGAATTTCCACAGTCACTATAATTTAAACACTTACGGTCACTATCGCCCGTTTGACTCAATTATCTGTCTCTATATCTGTCTATCTGCAATTATATCTCCGCTTTATTTGCCGGGCTTATATACTAAAATAGAGGGCGTCTAGAAAAGACCAGGAACATTCATGATACTTCTAGAAACTCCAGCGCGCATGCTTCCAGAATCACGTGACTTCCGCTGTCGTAACAATAGTAACTTTAACGTAACCTGCGCTACTCCAGTGGTTAAAGTACGGTTGCTTTAATGAACCAATATAATCCAATCTTTTTTATGTCATTACAGATATCGTCTAACCCCGTACTCAGAAAAGTTGAAAATACAAAATACGTAAGCTTTGATAAATGCAGATAGATAAGAATGAAATTTTTAGGAACAAAATTAACTATTTTTTCATACTTTGGTTGCCACTTACATGAAAGGGTTAAGAAACGCCCAATAAGCGCCTGTTCACTTCCTTAACTCGTAAAACTTGTTCTGGAGTAACATTTTTATGGCAACTCTTTGTGAAAACACGTGAAACATGATAAACTTTATTTGTTTGGACAATTACAACTGCAGCATTCCAAGCGTTTTGTATATAAGCTTAACAAATGTGTTATCAAAATATCATATGAGTTAGCTTTCATTGGTTTGATTTTCTAACGACCCATACTTACAAAATCAAACCACTTATTTGGAACTGATATCTTGAAAACGATGGGATCAGGAGAAAAGTTTCAATTTTTTTCTTCTCTTGGTTTACTGTTTCATAAGGGGGGGGGGGAACTTTCCTAGAGACATATCATGTGTATATGCATCCAAATCTACATTTTTCACGTAGCTTTAGAATGATTTGTAGTTTGATCACATTGTTGTTGATATCCTAACTTTAAATGTTTATCGGATGTGAGCTTTTCATTGTTACTCTAGTTATCTGAATTTTGTATATAACTTTGTTGTATGGCACGCCTATTTTGGCTCTCACCACGTATGAAGGTAATCTTCGGTGACTGGAAAGTGATTATTTTAGATAATTCATGCTACTGCATGTGTATAATACGATAATAATATAAATTATATTATATTATTTATAACATTACGATACACTAACTAAAACCAAATTATTCTGTTGTGTATTAGTGCTTGTGATAAGAACCAATATTTTACTAATTTCAGCCCCCAAATAACTCAGCGGTAAGTTTGAAGGGTTGTAAAGATAAAAACTGGATTTCGATACCCGTAGCAGGCACAATACAGATAACCCATTGTATAACTATGTGCTTAACAAGAAACAACTAATTTCTCGTGGTCAATAAAAGGATATAATTTCACAGTATTTTTTTTATAATTCACACACATAACGCCGAAAAATATCTTCAACGAAATAGAATGATTTTCAGCTTTTCCTCTACTTATATTTGTATTACAAGTTTTATGTATGTTAGCTAATCTCCTAACTAGAAGAGAAACTAATTACACAACTTTCAAGTGTGGTTCTTCGTATGACCTCAGTTATGGACTAAATTTTGTAAAGAACAAAAATAAACACTCATCGTTTTTTTTTTTCCATCCGGGCCTCTGGGCAACATTCAAATCTATTTTCGATTGACATTGTTACGAGTATGTGTACTACAATATAGACATATAAGCAAATGAAATTAAAGTAAGTTTTTTATAAGTTTTGTTTACGTACATATATAAAGTTTTATTATTAATATTATTTACACTGGCAAAAAAAGTCTTATTCCTGACAGACGTTCTCTCTCTGGTGGGGGTGAATCCAAGGGGACAAGGTTGGCGGGCTGTTGCCGCGAAAACGCCCCTCCCTTTGGCGCCAAGAGTGCACTATAAGAGTGATGGTCAAACCCCATTATTCGGTCACAGCCAAAGAAATAACAGTGGGTGTTGTTGACTGGCTCTCATCTTCCTAGTCTATCAGTTAAAAACTAGGGGTGGCTATGTTCGTTGTAGCGCTGAGAGCAAAAATTATGCAACATACTCGCGCTTGTTTTTACAACGTTTTGATATCTGAACATCAAAATGTTTTCTTCCTTTTGAATGTCGTTCTTTAGTAACCGTATCATGAATTTCAAGGGAGATATAACCCTAAAGGCGCTCGTACATTATATCGACTTGCGATTTTCAACACTTGGCTTGCTAAGCTTATTTTTCAAAATCTGTAGTTACTAGTTCAGAAAATTGTGTTTTAGATGTTGATTTATAATATTGCTTCAAAATGCAAAATATCAGTTAACCATTCACGAGATGTGTAGAGCTTCGAGCACCAAACAACGTGGCTAAAATCTGTACTAAAATCTTGAACAACATGAAGTATAAATATGTGGCTGAAACTAACTTGTAAGTAATAGTTCATAAAATCAAGACGCTGTTTCAGATTCCACAGGTTTTGCTTTAGCGCATTCTAGTGACTGCTTTATGAAATACGTAAGTGCTAAGAAGGTTTTGTTATAAAAAACACTAGTTCGATGTTAACGAAACCCCACGAAGCAAGCATGACTTACATGTACTTTATTTTTGACTCTACTTCAACCCTCTCCCCGTGTAAATAACGTACCTCTAGACTATAAAACTTGAAATTGTCTGGGTCCTTCATATCCTAGTGAATGATGTATTTTGATATATAAAAGTGATCCAAGTAAATGAACTAATGAACTTTCTTCTTTTACCAACAAAATAATTCCACTGCACCTTGCAACATCTTCCCCTAACATTAACTTTCTATTTAATGTTATTGCAAACAAATCCAAGATTGGCAACTTTGTAGTACGCATCTGAATTAATGTGCAAGATGTTGTCATGAATTGAAAAAAAAAAACTTAAAATAGTTTTATATTACAGATGATACTATATTTGATTTAATTTCTAGCGTATCTTCTATTTTTCTGGACGTGTCAAGTGATAATGTATTTCCCAAACTAGACATAAATCATGACATTTCAAAAATTTATATAACTGACTAACATGTATGTTGAGGTATTCCTTCTGAATGAAATAAACAATTCAGGAATTCTTACAGCAGTCAAACTTGGTAACTCGAGCTCACCCCTAACCATGTTTGAGAATAGACTCGACTCCAGTGTTTACAACTATCTTGGAGAGTCAAGGTCAAATAGAACACACGTGTATGAGCTCAGCGGACAAGCTAATATGCGCACACCATCAGCAGTCTCCTACGTGTACTTCTAGTGGTACTAGCGGTTCGTGTGAGAGTTGACGGTTTGATGATTCTGTACAGGTTTGTTTTCTTTTTTTTAATCCAGTAAATTATGAAACAAAAAACAAACAAACTGTGAAAACGTATTTATAAATAGTATGTTTATTCTAATACACGTAGACTCTATCAAAAGGATTAAGTTGTACGTTTAAATGTAAGGCTAAATTGGCTGATAATATTTATATCACATTCCCATATTTTAAAGTTAAAATGAACTATATAACGTAAGTTAGAATTTCTTAAGATTTTATGCTAAGTGTAGGGTCAATATTTTAAAGATAATTTACTTAAATATTGTATTTAATCTTCTAAGTTTTAACTGTATGTTATACCGATGTTTCACAGATTCCACTTTAGATAGACATTGCTAGCAATAGTAACTGTTCACAACCTTAAGGCTTAATGTACGATTTAGAAAACGAATGTTATGAGAATTTGCGTTATTTAATAAGAGAAAGCTTAATCCAATTAATATTGTATTGTGTAACCAATATGTTAGTGTTAAACAAAGCTTAATGTTGTTCTTTCCTTTTTTACCGTTATTACTAACTATTACTAGTATTAGTACAGTAGTAGGCCTAATTTAGTAGTGCTGTTCAACTGCAATGTTAATTATTATATTTAAGTATAGGTTTAATGCTTTAGTTTTAATAAATTTTACTAAATTTTGATCATCGTCAGATATTGATTAAAGTGTTTAAATTAATTTTTTAGTCTGTATAGTTTCAAATTATAAAACCATATCTTTTGGGGTGTAATTTCTACTCTTAGCATTTAATTTAGTTTATTAAACTTGTCACTAAT